AAAGTGTAATATATTTTGTTTTTTGTAAATAATCTAATGAGATACGACGCGGTAGAAATACTTACCTATTTTAACACGGATGTGTTGACAAATCCTAAAAAAGTGTATCTGATTCGACAATAGGTGCTGTCAACTTATGATAAACCTAATCCCAATATAACCTTAGATGTTCTATGCTATTATACAGTAAGCGCTTTCACAAACACAACATGTATATTATTAAATCAAATCCGAAGAAAGAATTCCGTTTTTGAATACCTATACTTAAGCATAACCTTTATTATTTGTCTTTATTTAATCCATAGACCATAAACACATCAATCGGGCAACATTTATGGGAACAACGTATATTATGTCTAATATTTTAGCTGTAGAATTTGGGTTTAGAGTCATTGACTTCTAGAAGGCTATAATATAACGACATAGCTTTTATTCATAAATTAATAAATGATAAATTATCCTGTCCAGAATTCCTAAGCAAAAAAAACTTTAAAATTCCAACCTTTAATTCAAGAAATAATCGCCCGATCTTAATACCACAATGCTACACAAACTTAATTAAATATAGTCCGGAGTAACGCATTTTAAATGCATGTGACAATGTACTTAATTTTGATTTTTCGTTTGATTCCCAACTTAAATTAAAAAATATTATATTGAATTAAGCTTACACGTGTTTATTGTTTATGTATTTATTTGTTATTATTTCTATATTTTGTATATCTAATACCTAAGTTGTCGCTGTATATTCTTTTGTGAAACTTTAATAACTGTACTCGTTACCCATTTGGGGTGTTAAAACTTTAGATAAACAAATAAATATAATAATAATATGTCTGGCTACGTGTCTGGTCGTGACAACGGCCGTTGTTTTATTGTAACTATCAACTTGTCTTGATTTCACCGTGTACTTGTTTTGTCTAATAATCTTTGTGAATTCAAAGTGTTTATGTCATACTTGCATTGTTTTCAAGTTTTCTTGAGTGATTGTTCCAAATTCTCTTGTAAATCTTTATAATTATCAAAAGTTAACTTTGTGCCCAAAAACAATGTCTTTTGCGTGCAATACAGTTAAGGACGGGCGGTCCGTTGGCATTATGAGACTCTTGGACTGTATGGCGTACACCAGGCCCGATGCCGACGTCCAACCAGCCAGTGGAGATGCCGCGGAACCCGGAGACGCGGCGCGACGGGCTTTGGATCGGTTGATTTCTGCAAACCAATTAATTATGCACATTTTGCAGTTGTTTTGCTTAACTTCCACCATTAGTGCACTTTGCAATTTATTTATTTTTATTTTTTCCTGGTATTCCGCCCACGCTGACAATGTCCGTTTTTTTTTATATTCGTCAACTGCAGTCCTACTTTGTTTATATTTGCTAATAATCCTTAGCATGTATTGTCAATTTATTGCTCGGAATTTTCCGAAGCCGATAATTTTTAAAATAGTATATTTTTTTATGATAATCTTTTATTTAAATTATTTTGTTATTTTCATATATTTAATTGCTCTTATTAGTTACGCTATTTTTTCCACCGCATTAGTCGGTTATAATTGTTACACGCTGTTCTTATATTGTAACAAATTGTTTCCCGTGATCGCCACCAAAGTCGGCCGCCAGAAATCAAGCTATCTGGCCACCAGTCTGAACCGCTTTGTACGGTCAACTGTTTCCGGTGCGTTTGCGGCCATCAAAGGCGCACTTCTGTACAAGGCCACCGAGGTCGTCAAACCACCGCCGACCGAAGCCCAAAGCGGAGGCGGCGACGACGTTGCCAGCGGCCCGGCCCAGGAACCCGTACGTAGGACACCGATCGTGACGGCCCGCTTCGGCCAGAACACCGCCATCAAGGACCCTAAATACAGAGCCAGGATCACGAGGGTAAAGGCCATGGCCATGAGCCTAAGAAACAAGCAACGGTACCCGTACATGCCGGACGTCGACAGAGGATTTTATTATTCCGGTTTCTAACGTACCCTCGTGGCTTGCACCTTCTACCCCCCCCCCATACCTGTTTAATTTACTGTAAATATTTATTTAATTCTACTTAATATTGTTACATTTTCTTGTTCAGATTCTGTCACCACGATATTGTTTTTGTCACCACTGTTTTTTTTATATTGGTTTATTGCTTAGTAGTTACGCCATACCTTATCGAATACATCTAATCTAAATATAAATGGGCATTTACCGCAATTATTGTTGATAATCTATTGTCAGAATCCGTTTAACGCGAATCGTATGTACACGGTGGGAGAAATTCTCTATACACGACCAAACAAGTAAATTTTTTTGTGTAGTTTTTTATTAGGTATGGATAATAACGTATGTGCTTGGCTTTACGAAACTGACAATGTTATGTTAGATGATTTTGACCCAGATGAAGATGACAGTGAGGAAGAAGTATTAGATGATAATCGAGAAATTAGTGATGAATCTGTTGAAAATGAAAGTGAGTCCGAAATGTCTTGTTCTGACGATTCTAGTAGAAATGATTTCCGGGAATATAACAAAGGTAAAGATAAAATAATCAAGTGGTATACTGACCTTCCTCCTCGTAATGTAAGAACTCCACGAAGAAATATTGTAACACACCTTCCTGGCGTAAAATTGGTAGCAAAAAATGCTAAAACTATAATTCACTCTTGGGGACTTTTTTTCAGACGATTGTTTACAAGAAATTACTACTTGTACCAATATATATTTGGCGAAAATTCGTGATAATTATCAAAGGTCCAAAGATGTTTTAGATACTGATATAGATGAAATTCGAGCACTTTTCGGTCTTTTATATATTGCTGGTATGTTGCGAAGTAACCATATAAATCTTGCTGACTTGTGGGAAACCGATGGATTTGCTTACGAAATTTTTCGTGCAGTAATGTCTGAAAGACGTTTTTACCTGTTACTTCGTGCTTTACGATTTGATAATATACACACTCGAAATGAACGAAAAAAAATTGACAATTTGGCACCAATTAGAACGGTTTTTGATGAATTCGTAAATCGTTGTATATTTTATATACCAGGAGAATATTGTACAATCGACGAAATGTCTAGGGCTTCCGGGGAAAATGTAAATTTCGCCAGTATATAGCCAATAAACCTAATAAATATGTTATAAAGATTTTTGCTTTGGTAGATTCACGTGTATTTTATACAGCAAATATGGAAATTTACGCAGGCAAACAACCTATTGGACCGTTTTTACAGGATAATAGTGGAGCTAGTGTTGTCAAACGTATGATAAAACCAATTGCTAAAACGGGCCGCAATATTACTATTGATAATTGGTTCACTTCAGTCCCTTTAGCGGTCGAACTTCTAAAAGAGTATAAAAACTACTATGGTAAGTACGCTGAAAAAAAATAAACGGGATATACCAACATGTTTTTTAGACACAAAAAACCGACAAATATGTAGTACAAAATTTGGATTTGGAGATAATAATTGTCTTTTATTGTCATATGTTCCAAAAAAAAGAAAAAAAAAGTTATGATGCTATCAACAATGTATACGCAAGGTGACATTGATCAGAACTCGGGGGATAAAAAATTACCAGAAGTCATTTCATTTTATAATATGTCAAAAGGAGGTGTAGGCGTTGTGGATGAACTCAAAGGCGAATACTCAGTTTCAAGAAACAGCCACAGATGGCCTTTGACAGTATTTTTTTTCTTTACTAAATATTGCTGGAATAAATAGCCAAATAATTTACAGGTCAAACACTAATACTGTTATTCCACGACGCAAATTTTTGAAGCAATTAGGACAAGACCTCTGCAAACCTCATTTAGTTCGACGACAAAGTATACCAACATTACCTGTTCCTCTAAAACAACAAATTAGACGATTTAGTGGAGTCATTTCAAGCCCAGAAACTGGACCCGGTAAATGTGAAAAAACTAAATGTTCTTGTTGTCCAAAAAAGGAAAACCTATGTACAGTGGTAAGATACTCATTAAAATATTTTATTTTTGCAATTACATGTATTATTATTATAGGTAAGTTGTGCAACATGTTCAAGTCCAATTTGCAAAAAACATACAACAACCATATGCGATTGTAGTGTAGCATAATAACTATTTATTTTTTAATAACTATTTCATAATAGCTTGGAATGCATGTAGTATTATATTGGTAGTAATAAATAATAGGCGATTGCAAGTGTCATCGTGGTTATGTCGAAACCTTTGGTGTCGGGTGTCCTGGGCCCGTCGGTTGACACGAGCAAATCGCTTAGTTAGTTAGTTAGTCGGGAATTCAGAGTAGACCATAGCAGAACCTCAGATAATAACAGAACCTCTCTAAGTTAAGTTTATTTTAAAAGTGTTAATAGTATAAGTTTAATAGTAATAAAAATCAACAGTTTAATTTTAGTTCAATAAAAGTATTGGTTATTCCTTTTTCGCAAAACACCTTCTTTTTGCCCCGTCCTATCCATACACACCACTATTCCTGTATTTGTAAGACGCAAATTCAAGAAGAAAACATTTAATTTCTTTATTTTTTTGTAATAACAATAATAATAATACAATGTAAAAAAATGTATCGATGTTTGATACATTTAATATTTAAGACACAGTAAAATAAATCAGATAAAACTATTTCAAAATGAAACGATATATCCAATCGTTATTATTTTCTTAGACAGAAATATTATTAAATTGTATAATACCTAATATTTTATTTTATTCGATATCCAATGCTTACAAACATGACAATAATACAGCCCTGGTATTAATACAATATTAATATCGATATAATTAAGTATAGTTCCTTTAAGAAATAAATACATTTTGTTTACATTAACGTGTTGCTGCACCGGATACAAAATAATTAGTAATTACTACTATATAGGGACATAGTACACAAACTAAAAAGATAATGACAGAGAAAATAAACATCAACAACCTTATCGGTCATAATAATATACATTGTATACCGTTTATTACATATTATACATATATACAATATTACATGTGTTCCATGCCTACAGACAAAGCCGAGCTGAGTGTAGAAGCTAAATAGTTTCCATTTAAATAACACAAGCAGTGTTATGCCCGCCTTGAATGCTGCACGTCGTATTGAATTCATATAAGAAATCAAATCGGTAAGAACACTTGAATGCTATTATATTTTTTTTTAACACAATTCGTAACACATGTAATAAATGTGTAACACAAAACTAGAAACGTTGATTTAAGGTGTGAAAAATTTAATTAAAACTGTACCTATACCTATTTTCAAAACGTGTATACCTACATCTTGATGATTACTTAACAAAATGATTACAACAATATCATAATGTCTATTTCCTCTAAATGTTCATCTTCAAATTTCTCAAAACTTTATTTGATACGCTTTAAAGTGTAATGGCCTTCCCTTAAGGCTATATTAATTATTATAATGTGTGTTAATAAATTTGAAAGTGAGTAGATTTAATGTAGATGTATTTTGTACAATGTGTTTTTCTTTTTTTACAATGCTCAATTTTTGTTTAGTTTGAATAAGCTGCTGTTTTTTTAAATGTGCGTTGTAAAAACGTTTCCTAAATGTCTAAAATATATTAGATATAGTTTTAGTTAAGATATAGTTTGTACAAAATGGGGTCTTATTCAGGTTGACCGAGTAACAATCAATGTTCAATAAACTAATTTGTTTGCATTTAGAACTTGTTGAGAAAATAATTTTGGTCATTTTTACAGTAAACACCCAACACCAGGCCATATATGCTATAATATTATGTAATTAATATTGACCAATATTTTACTGAATTTCTCTTATGTAACATTGTTAGGTGTCAAATCGTTGATTTCTTTATCAAATCTTTGTACGTTACTGATTATTACTTATTTGTGTCTTAAAAAACAAGAACAATTACAAATATATTGCACTAATACCTAATCTAACCTAACCTGATGATGCGAAAAAATGGAAATTACACTATTTACCAACAATAACAGTATAATAATTATTGTAATGAAACGTTATTACTTTTAACTATTGTCAAACATTTGAAGTATATATATTTTTTTTTTTTTGCTAGAAAACGATTTTAAAACCATCACCTAATATTTATATAAATGTCAAACAATTTTCTAGCTTGCCTATCAATTTTTACAATACAATCAAATCCGTGTATTTATATTTTTAGAATTGATTACTGAATTCAAAAGTTCATAGGCCATAATATATATATATATAAAGCACATCTTAAAATTAAGATATATACCTAACTCCTTAAGAAATGTCCATAAACACTTATTGTGCATGTATCGAGTTGGTTGTATAGTTTCACTTTAATTTAATAAACAATTTTTTTAATTGCATTATATTTTTACCTTCGATGCGTCGCTGTGTAGGTATTGTATATACAATGATGCATTTTTATTTTATTTTTTACATACCTACTATGATTTCAATGGTTGTGCAACTGACAATTAATACAAATATATAGTCAATAAACAAATCCAATTAAATGAATACCTATTCATTTATCCATAAGATTAAGATTTTGGCAAAAGATTACCTTTACCTAACTCCTCAATAAATAGAGGCTTTATATATGACTTGCTCTTGGCCTCTTAATGTAAAAAGCTCACATATATAGGTACATGATGTATTGTTTAGACATTGTTGACCTCTTCCTGTATTATCTGGCTCGGTCACTGCATTTCACAACCTTTTTTATTTGTCTTTATACAGATAAAATGAGAATGATAATAACTGAAAATGCTGATAGAGTCTCGGAATGGGCTGCCAAGTATGTGACCAAGAGAATCAAAGACTTCAACCCGGGACCCGACCGATACTTTGTCTTGGGTCTTCCTACGGGTAAGTATATAGGTAACACACTTTCTTATTTATAAGCAAACCAATTAACTTCAGACCGACTTCAGGTGGGACTCCGCTAGGGATGTACAAGTACCTGATCAAGTACTACAGGGCCGGTGAAGTTTCTTTCAAGTACGTCAAGACTTTCAACATGGTCGAGTACGTTGGTGAGTTTAAGTCTCAGTATTTCCTATAATATAATATAGTATTTCCTTATCTATATAGAGTGTAATAAACACATACAAATGGGTTAAGTTTTAATTTACTTGTGTTCTACTGTGAGCTTAAGTTTTGTCTTTATTAATGGCTGCACTGAATAGTGAATTCGTAGATGTGTTGCACCATCTTCTGAGGTTGTCCATCCAAGACATTTGAGGTCTTCTACAGCTCCTTCTTCCAACTATTTTACCCTGGATTATTAATTGTAGTACATGTCCAACGTATTGAAGTTTTCTCGTTTTTATGGTTTTTACTACTTCAAATATTACAATAACATATTACATATCTTAAAAATATGGCCATTTGATTTTTTTTTATATGATATAACTACTATGTCTCATGTTACTGTGTCAAGACTATTTTTTTTTTGTTTACTATGGAAGCCCTCAAAAAGGGGAGAAATTACATTCTGACCGTTTATGTTTATTCCAGCTGTTATAATAATGGCCATTTCCATTCTTCTATTTAACTCAACTAAGACAATATTATCAATTGACACCAAAAACAGTTTCATTTTCGGTGAAATCAATTTTTCACATTTTCTACTCTAATCGTCGTTGTGTGATCTTTTATTGATCCTGCAAATGTTTCCCATGGAAATTATAATCAATAATCTAAATATACCACTTGAAAAGTAGAGTATACATTATATAATATATTTTATTGATAATCTCACACATGTCCACTATCTGCTTAACCGCATGAATTGACAATTGTTTTATTTATTTATTTATGCATATGACATATCGGCTTATATATATATGATAACAATTTAAAATAAAATTTATAATAATCAGAAATGATAAATTTCTATGAAAGTGAACAATAAAAAATATAATTAGAAACAAAAATGAATAAATAAAAAACTATTATAAAATTAGAAAGTGAATAATTATAATCGCACAGCAAGTTCCCTAAGCCATTTTGCTGCGTCTGGGCCACACTCGTGCAGTTTTTCCATCCTTTCTTCGAACCTTGTGATAGGGCACGCCTCTATAATGTGCGTGATATTCTGTACCTCACCGCATTCGCACAGTGGTGAGAAGGCCATGCCCCATTTGTGAAGTAGGTAATTGCACCTTCCTTGCCCGGTTCTAATGCGATTGAGTGTTGTCCATTGGGCCCTTTTAAAATCCCAGCCAGGATCCGTTATGAACGGTTCTTTAATCAGGTCTCGGTTGCGAGTTTCTGTTAAGCTCCATCGTCTTTTCCATAGACACTCTATAGTCTCATTGTTTGCTTCTGTACACCATATGGGTGCTCTGGACTTTAAACGTAGTGGTGGGTGCTCAAGTATGTCCATTTTAAGTGGTAAATTAGGTTGGTTGTTAATTTTTTCTAGCGTCTTTGTAGTGTGGGCTAGTCTCCTTAGATCTGGAGGGGCTATATTGGATAAGATGGGTAACCATTCTGTTCGAGTTGACCTAACTGTGCCTGATATGATGCGCATAGTATGGTTCAATTGTACATCAACTTTCCTACAATGAGCGCTTCTAGCCCACATAGGTGCACAGTATTCAGCGACGCTGTACACCAAGGCGAGCGCTGTAGTTCGTAGAACACTGGTGTGGCAACCCCAACTAGTACCAGCTAATTTAGCCATAACGTTATTGCGTGTCTTCAGTTTATTTTTGACGCCTTCCAAGTGTTGATTGTATGTTAAGGTACTATCAAATTTCACCCCTAGGTATTTAGGGCATTCTTCAGAAGCGATATTTTGTCTATCTATTTCTACGTGTAGTTCTCTGTTTGCCTCCCTTTTTCTTCTCTCTTCATCCAGTAGTGGCATTTGCTGTTACCTCATTTCCAGTTTGATCATATTCACGCAATAGTGAGTCGCACTCTTTGCTCCAGCAAGGTATATAGTTCTGTCTATGTCCTCTAGGTATTGCTAGGGCAGCTGCTTTTTTTATGAGTTTTACAAATCTGGGGTAGTTTTGTGGAGTAGGAGGAATGCGATTAATGTTCTCTTCCATGTATTTAGTGTAGTCCACCCACCGCGCCTTACGGAGATTCCACCTGGGCATTTCGGGTTTATTGACTCTTGGAAAGTTTACGCCTATGTCTATAACTACTGGCTTATGTTGACTTTTGGGGAATTTGGGTAGAATTTGTCGTGAAACTCTTAAAGGTTGGTCATCCTTGTCTCTTGATACAAAACAAAGGTCAGGTGAGGTAGTTGTCCCCCACCGACCTGATTCGAAAGTACCACCCTGCTTAGCGTCATAGACCAGATGTAGGCGGTGGAGCGCAGCCCAACCAGAGAGTACCGCGCCATCCTCGTTCTCACTTTGGTAACCCCATTCGGTGCTATGTGAGTTGAAGTCACCGATATAAATTGTGGAGCTTTGTTTGACTGGGAAGACTGAGTTGGACCACCTTTCGGGTGGAGGTTTGTATACGTTGTATATTATAAGGTTTCCCACAGATATACCAATGGAGTGTTCATTTCCGGCAACGGGATTTATATGTTGTTTTTTAACATTTTGGTTTACGTAAATTGCTAGTCCGTATTTGGTGTGACCTTTATAGTCGACCATATTGAAACCAGGCACCCTCAGGCGGCTGACCTTGTCACTCGGAACGTGGGTCTCTTGAAGTGCATCTGCATCCATAAACATTGTGCCTAAGATATCAGAATTTGCCCAAGTCAAACCTTCAACATTTAAGTGCACTAATCGTATTGTTCTTTGTGATTCCTTGTATTTTTCGCTGACTGTATAAGGTTTTAAGATTTTGTTTTTATAATTTTTTTTGTAAGGAATTTTGTTTTTTCTACTCTTTACGCGGTGGCTGCGCACGTCAGGGTAGCCCTGAAAAGGGCTGTTTATGCCGATAAAGCCAGGAGGTCCATGGACGTTTGGCTGTCAGTTTCATGCTAATTCGTTACGTGTGTTCATTGTGTACTTCGTAAAGTTGTAGCTTTAAAAATACTCGGAGAACACACTATTTACAGGGGAGACCACGAGAAGGTTTAGCATCACCTCCCCCATTGACAATTGTATAAATAATATATTAGAATAAAATAAACTTGTTTTAAATGAACAATCCAATTTTGTATATTAATTATTAAGTTAACATAATACATTATTAGCATAAAAAACACTCAAGGGCAGTTCAAAAAACGACTCTCCTTATCACAGATATATATAATAACCTAGATTGCTAACTAATGATAACACGTAAAGTCAACCGCCCGCCATTTAAAATTGCAATTTGTTTAGATACATCTTCTATGTTACATGATGGTAATCATTGGACATTATGAGGAAGACAATGTTTCGGCAGTCGATTTAAGTGAAGGTGAGTTAATTTAAGTTATACATAAATTAAGCACACAACGAAATTGGTGGTTTAATGTCAATAAAACTTATATTAAATATTTGTTTAGATACATCTTCTATGTTACATGATGGTAATCATTGGACATTATGAGGAAGACAATGTTTCGGCAGTCGATTTAAGTGAAGGTGAGTTAATTTAAGTTATACATAAATTAAGCACACAACGAAATTGGTGGTTTAATGTCAATAATTTCTATATTAAATATTTGTTTAGGTACATCTTTTATGTTACATGATGGTAATCATTGGACATTATGAAGAAGACAATGTTTCGGCAGTCGATTTAAGTGAAGGTGAGTTAATTTAAGTTAGACATAAACTAAGATTTTGGTTGTTTAATGTCAATAAAACCTATATTAAATATTTCTTTAGATACATCTTCTATGTTACATGATGGTAATCATTGGACATTATAAAGAAGACAATGTTTCGGCAGTCGATTTAAGTGAAGGTGAGTTAATTTAAGTTATACATAAATTATGCACACAAAGAAATTGGTGGTTTAATGTCAATAATTTCTATATTAAATATTTGTTTAGGTACATCTTCTATGTTACATGATGGTAATCATTGGACATTATAATAAAAAAGACAATGTTTCGGCAGTCGATTTAAGTGAAGGTGAGTTCATTTAAGTTAGACATAAACTAAGATTTTGGTTGTTTAATGTCAATAAAACTTATATTAAATATTTGTTTAGATACATCTTCTATGTTACATGATGGTAATCGTTGGACATTATGAAGAAGACAATGTTTCGGCAGTCGATTTAAGTGAAGGTGAGTTAATTTAAGTTAGACATAAACTAAGATTTTGGTTGTTTAATGTCAATAAAACTTATATTAAATATTTGTTTAGATACATCTTCTATGATACATGATGGTAATCATTGGACATTATAAAGAAGACAATGTTTCGGCAGTCGATTTAAGTGAAGGTGAGTTAATTTAAGTTATACATAAATTAAGCACACAACGAAATTGGTGGTTTAATGTCTATAATTTCTATATTAAATATTTGTTTAGGTACATCTTTTATGTTACATGATGGTAATCATTGGACATTATGAAGAAGACAATGTTTCGGCAGTCGATTTAATTGAAGGTGAGTTAATTTAAGTTAGACATAAACTAAGATTTTGGTTGTTTAATGTCAATAAAACTTATATTAAATATTTGTTTAGATACATCTTCTATGTTACATGATGGTAATCATTGGACATTATGAGGAAGACAATGTTTCGGCAGTCGATTTAAGTGAAGGTGAGTTCATTTAAGTTAGACATAAACTAAGATTTTGGTTGTTTAATGTCAATAAAACCTATATTAAATATTTGTTTAGATACATCTTCTATGTTACATGATGGTAATCATTGGACATTATGAGGAAGACAATGTTTCGGCAGTCGATTTAAGTGAAGGTGAGTTAATTTAAGTTATACATAAATTAAGCACACAACGAAATTGGTGGTTTAATGTCAATAATTTTTATATTAAATATTTGTTTAGGTACATCTTTTATGTTACATGATGGTAATCATTGGACATTATGAAGAAGACAATGTTTCATTATGGCCCAAGCAAGAAATATTTGAGAAAACAAGTGAAATGTCTACATCGAAAAGTTCGAAGACAACATAAAAAAAATTCCACTCTGCAGGTTCAATTTTATTTCAATATTTTACATGTTTTAAATTGACTCATTGTAATGATTTATTTATTATACATTACAACTATAATAAGTATTTGACAATACGTTTTGATTTAACAGATTTATCGGATACTGTGACTATGGTAATAATTTAACTGTCGAAGATTGTGAGACACCAGCTACTGAGGTCTAGTATTTATGCTCTCAAGTCTCAGGGGTAAGTGGAAATGGCCGATTGGATATTGGTTTGTAGACAATTCGTTGAAGCTATCTAATCAGACTTTTATGTTATACCATCCAAAAGTAATATATACTTCACACCAGATGCGTGTCTTAATGTAAAGTTAGCTAGAAATGCTTTGGGGACATTTGGAGCATTTCAAGATGAAGATAACCTTAAGATAAGAGGTAACCTTATTGAGTGGAAATATATTGACAAACTATACCCGGTACAGAATAATGTAGGCTTTAAATTAGGAAATAAGCTTAGCTCTGCGCATGTGAATTGGAAATCGAATAGCATGAAGGTAAAACTCGCAGTTCATTCATTAAGCAGTTCTGTAGCAGACTCTTTACTTTACCCGTGACAAACTTCAAGTGACTTTAGTAACTGTGGTGCAACAATCAAATTCATTAGGTTAATAGACGAAATTTTCGATTTTTTAAACTTCAGAAATCCTTTTGCCAAAGGATTTAAACAGGCTATCTGAACCCATAATTTTAAACTCAATGAGGATGAAATGACAAATAATATAAAGTATTTATATTCTTTAAAGACTGTGTCTGGTCAACAACTATGGAAGAGTAAACGAAAAACGTTCATAATAGGTTTTGCTACAACCATTAAATCTATTTTAGCAATAGCTAGGCAATAACTATCAAAACAAAGTTTTAACTTTATACTAACGTATAAATTTAGCCTAGATGTCATTGAACTATTTTTTGGTTTCATGAGAGGTCGCTTTGGATATAACAACAATCCTAATTGTTTGCAATTTAGAAATACTTTCAAAAATATTTTATTACATACCTCAATTAAATTGAGTACGGGAAATTTTACATTACTGTCATCTCACGAAGACTCGTTGTTTGCCATCAAATGGAATTACAAAAGAAACCAACAGCCCATTTCAGAAAATGAATTAGATGTAACGGCATTATTAGAGACCAGTAGTAATAATCCGTTTTTCAATGCAATCACAGAAAACATTTTACACTACATCAGTGGTTTTGTAGTAAAAAGAATAATTACTTCAATAGATTGCGACTTCTTTAGACAGGCCATTATTGATTCCTCCAAAGAATTTGACCATTCTTACAGCAAAATAGAAAACACCATTAAATCGCTTACACTAATGAAAAACCGAGGAGGACTTAGGCTAGCTTCAGACAGTGTCTATAAAATTGTTAAATTAACAGAAACATTATTTAAAACTATTATTATTGAAAAGAAACAGTTCTTTGTAAAAAACATAGACTTAGAAATAATTTTAAGTGTTCAAAATTCTTTACCTATGTCATGTAATATATTCCCTGAATGTGACAACTGTTGGGAATCATCTGATTTACTCACACGACCCCATAAAATAAATTTAATAAATAACGTTACTAAAACATATTTAAATATTAGGCTACATGCGTTTAGTAAGCTTATGACCTCCTCTATAGCTAAAAACGCAAGTAAACGACATAAATTAAATAAAACAATCCTTTTTTATAACATGTAATTTACAACATAGCTTACCATTTTTATTTATTTTTTTATTATTATTCTCTAAAAGTGAGTTTTAATTCTATTTTTTAAATTATTTGTACTCTGTGAATTAAAAATGTTTGTTTTAAATTGTGATTTTTTAAAGTTTTCGTAATTATTATTATATTTTATATTAAGTTTTTCTATTAATTAATATTATTTTATGAATTTTTATTTTGGATTAATGTTTTTAAACAATCATTTATAACTTTAACGAGTCACGAAACTTTTAATATTAGTGAATTTAAATATTTTATTTAATAATGTGATTTGTAAATGAGTATTAATATAATATGTTATTAGTTTTTATACAGTACTGTGATGACGAATATTAGTAGTAAGACTTACATTATTGAGATATATAATAATAAAAAAGACTTGTGTTTCATAATGAGTAACTATTAAAATGCAGACAAATTTAAAATTCGCAACTATTTAAATTTCAATAGGGTATTTATTATTTGAATTACCTTATCAACATATAAATAGATGATAACACCCACGGCCTCAAAAAAAATGACGGTCGTTGGTCGCTTCAAGCAAGTACACAGACAGTATATAGCAGTTAGCTATCTAGTTTATTATCTATATCTGTGCTCCTTATAAATAATGTTGTCACTGCTGAACCAGTGTTACCAACCTTTACAAATAATGTTCCATTTTTTTGGGAGGAGAACATTTATTTTGCAATCTCCTACATATTATAACAATATTGAATATTGTAATGTTATTAACTTTGGACCGTGTGGTCCACGAAAGGCTTGCCCAGAAATCACCCGGAGATTTACCACTGTTACATGCTGACAAACTTCTTCACTCAAGTAGATATAGACCCGAAAAACGCACGCATACTTAACGTCAATGCCGCCGACTTACAAGCCGAGTGCCAGGTCTACGAACGGCTCATCGAGGAGGCTGGAGGCGTACACTTGTTCGTCGGTGGTAAGTACACACACACAGACTTCAGAACTTTTTTTGCTCGATTTGACAACTTTCCGGATTTCCATATATTATGTATATACCTACCACAGGCATAGGTCCGGACGGTCACATAGCGTTCAACGAACCCGGTTCTTCCCTGGTGTCCAAGACTCGGGTCAAGACGTTGGCACAAGAGACTTTGGAGGCCAATGCCAGATTTTTGGACATCGACAAGGTGCCCAAACAAGGTCTGACGGTCGGCGTGGGAACCGTCATGAACGCCCAAACGGTAATCGCATATACATTTAGAGTCCATAACATATCTTAAGCCAAATAACTTTGGCACAACTAGAAGAGGCCAAGGAAGTTCGGACTTACCTGACCTTACGGCCTGAACGAGTTTCGAAAGGATTTGAAAAGTTCCCTAGTATTAGAACGAAATAAACTTGCGCGAAAAGAACAATCCAATTTTGTATATTAATTAAATACGTTATAAACAAAAAACAACAACACTCAAAGGCAGTGCAAAAACGACTCTTGGTATAATTAATAATGTTGTACACTGTGGCGGCCCTGGTCACCGCTGGACCAGTGTTACCAACACTAGCCTCCCCCAACCCTCAAGTTAAATATTTAAACACAGCCGTCTATTAACAGTATAGTAAAAATATTTTCAAATACCTGTTGGCTGTTGCTTCATTCAAACATAGCAATCTAAAAATTGACCGTCAAGGTGTAATTTCTCTATTATTTTGGTGGTTTTCCTTAATAAAAAGTCTGACAGCAGGTTTCTGAGAAAGTTGTAAATGTTACAACCTCTAGATGTACTTTTGGTCTAATTTTCAAACCTAAAGCCGTAAAACTTTACTCAAAAAAAACTTCCACCCAGTTTAGGGGAAAGGATTTAAGATTGTTTGTTTGGCACTGCTTGTGTCTAAAGAATATTCATTAATTTCAAGTTGAAAAATATGTACATTTTTTTTGAGTTTATCTCCATTTGAATCAAGGTGAACTTTTTTTGAATTATGAGCCCAATAAATAGAATTTTTAAACTATACCATATATAATAGTTTCTTGAATCATCCGGTTCTAGGTGATGATATTGATCACGGGATCTCACAAGGCGTTGGCCCTTCATAAGGCAGTCGAAGAAGGTGTCAATCACATGTGGACAGTGTCAGCGTTACAACAGCACCCCGACACGCTTATATTGTGTGATGAAGAAGCCACGATGGAACTAAAAGTGAAGACTGTGAAATATTTCAAAGTACGTTTTCCAACTTAATGTATTATAATAATATGTTATCAATTTTAAAAATGAATTTTATCAATATTAATAACTGGTACACTTTATATTGGAACAATATAATATTATGACCCAATAAGCCAATAAATCTGCACCTAATATAATAAGTATAATTTAAACATGTTCCAAGTTTCCTATATAGAAATTGAACGCTCCTTTTTTTTGGGAACACTTTAATTTGTGCTATTTTTTTATAATATATTAGACAAAACTCTGTTTTTCTTTGTCCTGAGCTCTATCAACTTTTGAAACTTAGTCTTAACATAAAAAATTGGATAAATAATGTTCCATTTAAGTTTCAAAAGTTGATAAGAGCTCTAGAAAACGCCAACAAAGGTAATAGAAGTATATTTAGTAATTTTATAACATTGTACACTGTCTAAAAAAAAACTATTATTTTAAAAGAAAATGAGTCGCCTTGTCCTTAATGGATCACCCTGTATGAACTTTTTAGCCTTCAGCAGCTGTAAGTTCTTTCGTTAGCCATCTGTCAAATGGGTTTTACTTGGATAGTAATTATCGTTGGCGTTACTCAAGGCAGTTTATAATTTGTTTGCAGGCACTTGGCGCTATTCACGAGAAGCCTATTGAAAACAACTGAGAATTCAAGACTACCAGGAAAAGAATGTGTTATGTTTATGTTCAGTTGATTGTATTCGATTTATGGTTTTTCTTTTTTAAAAAAAGGAAAAAAATTAATATTCTAAAGAACCGTCAGAAAATGATAAACGTAAAACGTCAAAGAAATCACATTAACAATAATAATAATATGTAAATGTAATAAAAATATATTATCGTAAACTACAACCATCGTATTCTCGTTACGCTTTATCTATTTTATATGGTACATGCTCGCTTTAACCCTACGTTTATAATGTTAACTCCTTGTACTGAATGGACTACATTTCCTAACTGAAATATAGTGTAAGTCTATTAGATGTAAAATTGGGTTGATATACTTTCCATTCCATAAGAAAAAAAATCTATAAAGTGAAGAAATACTGTTTTTTTAAAACACTAATATGCGTAATATGATTAAAACAAATAGTAGTACATCGACTTGTATCGAAAAAAATTTAATTGTTTATCAGTGAAATATATTCGTATTCGATCCAATTGAACAAATAAGAACGATTATACCGACAACTACAGCAGAAACACAAAAACAATTTCGTTTTAGCAGCAAACCAGTACACTTTTAATTCAAATTAACGAATCGATAAAATATTTGTTTGTACTTCGTATTGCAAATTTAGAAAATTTTACATAAATTCTGGCTATAATATACGGTTTTAATAATAAAACCAAAAATTAAACATTAAGAAATCATAAAAATTATAATCAGTATGGTACATTGTAAAAAATAACCAAAATGTTCCAAATCAAACATGTTAGTTAAAAGAATATTAAATAAATATGTTTTTTCTATTAGCTCCATTATTTAGAAAATAACGATACTTCAATACTTTTAATACACTGAAATACTAAAACTCGAAAATTGTTACTTGTCATGATGTATAAAAGACAAATCTTTAGTTTTATACTTACACCACAATATTAAAATGGGTTTCAAAAGGAAAAAAACTTGGTACTCTGTACGCAGCGTTGTTATTTCCAACACGAACAACTGTACAAACATAACATTTAACGTATTGGGTACATGACCCGTAGGTCTTACAAAAAATGTAAGCCGCCGCACATTTCTAAAAGGTCTATACTAGTATCACACTAGAACTACACTCAAGAGGTATACATAAGTTCAGTAACAGTTTTAGAAGAAAAGTGCGAAAAATGTTGCGTTCAAACTTATCATTATGGTTTGGTCTCGCTACCATAATGCTAATTATTTGTATGCTTTCACATAATATCGAAATGAAAATGACCAAACTTCATATGGGTATTTTGGAAACTCGTCCTGAATACCTGAACAACATGGAACAGGTTCAGTCGGGAGGAAGCGCACTAGAAGAG